TGGGATGGGATGGGATGGGATGGGATGGGATGGGATGGGATGGGGTGCTCAGCTTGAGGTTGGAGCTCATCAGGCACTGCAGCTCCTCCTGAGGGGCAGCTCAGGATGCTGATCTCAGCTCTCTGTAACAGTGGCAGGACCCAGGGAAGAGCTGGAGCTGTGCCAGGGGAGTTTAGGTTGGATCTCAGGGAAGTTTCCTCCCCCAGAGGGTGCTGGCACTGCCCAGGCTCCCCAGGGAATGGGCACGGCCCTGCCAGAACTCCAGGGAATGCCCAGGGTGGGATTTGGGGGTGCCTGTGCAGGGGTTGGAACTGGACTTTATGATCCTTGTGGGTCCCCTCCAGCTCAGGATATTCCATGATCCTGCTGGGTGGGGATGAGGTGCTCAGCAGGGACACTGCTCTGTGAGCAGCTGGAGAGGTGGCAGGATTGTTGGATGGAGCCAAGGGTTTAGATACCATCAGGGAGACTAAAGAGAGCATCTACACACCAGATTACTGACCAAAGCTTGGCCATTAAACAATGAATGTGTTAAGACTGGCTCACCATGGCTCTTTTTAAAAATCAGGGATTTGATTCCTATTACTGCATGACCTCATTGTGTCAAGTCACCCGCATGTTTTGGCCACTTTAATTTTGTTCCAGCATGAGAGGCAGGCTGAAGTATCAATGATGCACCCTGTCAGACAAAATTAGGCCTTTTGGCTCTCCCTCTCTGTTGTGGCTCCTGGCAGAAGCAATTAGATCAGCACAATTGATGGATTGCTCGTTGCACGAGGCCAGACCCAGCTGCGCTTGGTGCTTGTGCTCAGATGGGGACAGAGACATCAACATCATCCTCAGGAATTCAGGGAAAGGCTGTGTGAACCTTGGGACACCCTCCCAGCTTGGATACTGAGGAGAGATTTAGATTAGATGTTAGAAAAGGGTTCTTTACTCAGAGTGGGGCAAGGCCCTGGCACAGGCTGCCCAGAGAAGCTGTGGCTGCCCCACCCCTGGAAGTGTCCAAGGCCAGGTTGGAGCAGCCTGGGACAGTGGAAGGTGGAATGAAGTGAATTGTGAGGTTCCTTTAAAACAGACCATTCTGTGAAATGCAGCATCTCTCCTTGACACAGAAGGTGGTGAAATGGTGACAGGAAAGGGATGGCAGGGTCCTGGCTGTGCCCCAGCACTCCTGTTTGCCTCGCTGGTCATGCCTGGGACGTGCACAGTAGTGTGACAGGGAAATCAGGCACAGCTCAGAAAATTGGCTGTACTTTTGCAGGATTAGTGAGGCATGGATGGCAGTCCCCTGTTTGTAGGAGCTAAGTTAGATCAGCACGGTGCCACCTGCGTTTGTGATCCACACTCTTTTATTTATCCACACTGTGTTTTGGGCAGCTGATTCCCTCTCTGCATGCACACACTCCTTCTGCTTTTACTTCACCTTTCCAACAGAGGAGAAAAAAACCCTCAGCCAGTCTGAATTAGGACAAACAAAGTGGGACTTGGCTGTACGTGGGCAGGTTTCAAACCCACTTTCTCCTTGTCAGGTTCTTCTGATTCACAGCCCAGCCTAACCCTCCCCAAAATACCTCTTAGGAACATGCCAAGGCCTCCAAGCACCACATATCACTGAAAGCTAATGCTCTGGCTGTAGAGTTCTTAGTTTGGTTAAATAACTCTATAAACTGCTCTTGTAAATGCCAGATAATCTGAAATAATGCCCTCAGTCCACAGAAAGCTTTTATGCTTTGTTCAGATAAAGCTTTACTTACATACAGCTTGTGCTGGAGGAGAGCTCAAGGCAAGAGACGCTTCCCAACGAGGCTGTGCCTCCCTCCCTGTCAACAATTATCTATCAGTCTCTGATGAGTCTGTTGGAAAAGTTTGGAAGCAGCAATACCCAGCAAAACCAGGCTGGATAGGGCTTGAAGCAAGCTGATCTAGGGGAAGGTGTCCCTGATGCAATGAGATGAGCTTTAAAACCCGCTGAACCCAAACCATTCTGTGGTTCTATGAGTAAAGCCTGGCCTTCTGAACTGGTTGTGTCTCTCTCACCAAAAAAAAAAAAAAAGGAAAAATAAGGTGGTTTTGGTTTTGCCTGAGAGAGTTTAGTGCCGGTATTTTACAAGGAGTGAGGGTGGGGAAATTCTCCACGTGGTGCTGTCTGTGATTTGGGTAAGGAGTTGTTTGGGCCCATCTGTTCAGCTGTGGGCTGTGACTCGTGCCACAGGTGAGAAAACATAGCTTGTGGAAAATACTCTGGAATTTAAGAAATTTGCTGGATTGGTTCCTTGAAGGTTTTTGGAGGTGTTTCCCCTCTGTTCAGAGCAGAGCTCAGGAGCACCTATGGAACTCGTTCTGTGCTCTCTTGCTTTCTGAGTCTGGGGGCGAAAAAGGAGAGCCATGTCCTTGTAAACACAGAGAGCTGTTGGTGTCTTCCTCCTGCAGGCACATCTCATTCAAGAGGCACCTCCCTCGCCAGATGCACGTGTCCAGCATGGATTACGGCCTGGAGCCGCCAGCTGTGGCTGAGCAGCCCACCAGCATCGGCCGCATCAAGCCCGAGCTCTACAAACAAAAGATTGTGGACACCGAGGACCCCAAGAAAGAGGCAGAGAAAACCTGTGGGAAAATCAACTTCACCCTCAAGTACGACTATGAGAACGAGATGCTGACTGTCCGAATTCTCAGGGCTTTTGACTTGCCAGCCAAAGACTTCTGCGGCAGCTCGGATCCCTACGTGAAGATCTACCTCCTGCCTGACCGCAAACGCAAGTTCCAGACACGAGTGCACAGGAAGACTCTGAACCCCACCTTCGACGAGTCCTTCCACTTCCCCATGCCCCACGAGGAGCTGGCCAGCAGGAAGCTCCACCTGAGCGTCTTTGACTTTGACAGGTTCTCCAGGCATGACATGATAGGAGAAGTTATCTTGGAGAACCTGCTTGAGGACTCGGACCTCTCCCGGGAGACTTCCATCTGGAGGGACATTCAGTACGCCACGACGGTGAGTGTCTGCTGGCAGGGTGGGGGTTCTCCACAGGGGTAAATCCTCCAGCTGATGGGCTCCTTGGCCTCCTGTTAGCCTCAGGGACCCTCAGCCACGGCACAGTTCTCTGCCACATGCACCTGTGATGAGCTAGACAGAGTTAAGAGAATAAAGCGAGTGCTTATTAAAGTTCTTCAACAGACACACCTTTGGCAGCCAAAAGCCTCCCAGAGGCTACACCCAAGATGGACAATGGTCACAAATTTTTCAGACAGGCATGAGTTTGGTCTGTTTGCATATCAGGGGTTTATTCTCCAATTACAGCTTCAGGTAATGAAATCACATTCCCCCAGTTTGCTCCCCCTACAATTCCCTTTTGTTTATACTTCTCAGGGCCTGAGGCAGAGGGTGTCCTTAGTTCTCAGGCCTGGAAGGATTGTTTTGTCTGACAAAAATGTGGAGAGAGCTTGCTAACAGTCTATATGGAGTTCAGAGTTATTCACAAATGGAGTACAGTATCTGAAAAATAGAAAAGCTAAAAGCTTAAGGCATCACATGGTCGCAATAAGGAAGAGCTCTGTGGAGCCCTTGGTGCTAAGAGATGCTGGATGTGCTGCTGGCAACTCTTCCAGCAGCTGGATTTGGGTCTTTTAGGAGTTCTGTTGAATTCCCTCTGAAAGAGAAGCCAAGCCTCAGAGAGGAAAAGTCCCAGCCCCTTCTGTGTCACACAGAGCTGGCAGGAGAAGCCAAGTGTTCACATTGATCACTGAGTGCAGAGCAGTGACATTAACCTCTCCATTATAGCTGCCTGCTCCTCCCCTGCCCTCCCAGGAGGATCTGGCTGGTCTTAAGGGCCAATGAACGATTGAACTGTTCTGCAGCTGGACACCAAATCAGCCATTGTCATTGTCATTTCACATTATTTCTGAGACTGAAAGATGAGACATCCCCACCCCTGTGGCTGGAAGCGTGGGCCCTGTCACATTTTTCCTGGTGACTGGCAGAACACCACAACTCACAAAAATCTGTCCTGCAGCTTTCCTCATACTCATCTCATACTTTTGTTCCCCTGCTTTCTGTGCTGAGGAGGGAGCTGTCAAACACAAATAATTCTTGTGGCCAGCAGTGCCAGAAGACAATTTGCTTTGTAACTCTGGTGGTTTTTTTTCCCAGCACCGTGTTCCCCACCAGTCTGCTGCAGGGTGTTCAGAACCTCCTGACAGCTCTGTGAAGTCCAACAGGTTTGCACAGCCCTGTGTCCTGTGCTGCTGTGCCCAAGGGGGACACAGTCCTGGGGCATTCGGGGGGCATGGGGTGCACACAGAACATCACCCTGGAAGGTGGATCAGGGGCTGGAGCTGTGCTGGGAGGGCACGGAGAGCTTTGGCTCTGCCAGCCTGAGGACACAGGGATGGAGGTGCTGCCTTCCATGCACCCTGGGGCAGCACTGGGGGTGTGCTGGGGATTGCTGCTGTGCTGCCTTTTGAGCATCTCGCCTGGGAGGGCAGTGGGAAGGAGGCACAGGATCAACCATGAGGAAAGCAACAGTTTGAGTTAGCAGGGTACTCACAGCTCTTGGCTTCCAAGCTGCAAACATCCATGGTTGCTGTGATTGATGGATGGTAATTGAAGCAGAAATGCTGACAGAGAGGCAAGCAGGCACCAGGCACATCCTTCACCCAGAGAGGGACTGCTGGAAGGGGAGCAAAGTGCACCTGATGTGCTGGTGCCTCCTGGAGGAGCCTTCCTGTTGGTTCTGCAAGACATAGTGGACGTTTTCCTGGCTAAATAATCTCATTTAATGGGGGAAAACCCCACAAAAGCAGGTGGAGATGCACCAACAAAAGGGCTGTTGAGGGAAAAGCCTCCAGAGAAGGTGTGAGGGGAGCAGAGCCAACTCCATGCCCAAGATGTGTTGAGCAGGAGCCTGGAAGAGCTGCAACAGACACATCCAGCACCACATTTGGCTCCATCCCCTTGTCCTGTCTGTGCCATTCTTATGGAATGTGCTGCTCCTGGGACATCTCAGCCAGCTGTAGCACACCCAAGGACATTTCTGTTTAATCAAAATTGGGAAGGGTAAATACAGTTTGCACAAAGCCCCAAGAAAGCTCTGGGTGCCTAATAATGCATGAGATCAATGGTGTGGGTAAGAGGGTAGGAACACATTTAAGCACTGAGCTGGCCAAATAGCCAGCACATAGCTACTTAATTAATGACTGTACAGCTTGTGAATCAGGGAAACATCTTTGGTTTCAAGTCTATTGATTCAGAACTTCCATTATTTTCTAAAAGGTACTGATATGAATTTTGGAAATATCGCAATGTCTATAATCTGCAAGAAAATAATGTACCCACAGGACACACTTCGCTCTCTTGTATTTATGCATTATGGTTGCAAAGAAAAATCTCTTGACCTGATACAATGAGGTCAAAGAACAATTTATGTTCATTTTATACCCTGAATTGGTCCTCTCAGTGCAAGGAGGGGAATAGAAGATGAGATGGTGTTCAGAGGGTGTTCTCAGCATCTCACAGGGGGCTGCTCTCTTCTGACATCTTGTCCAAGGTCTCCTGCCTTCATCCTTCCCACACCAACTAACAACAAAGAATGCATGAAAGAACAGAGCCAATCAAAATTTTATATAATATTCATTAGTATTCTGCACATCTAAGTGGAATAAAGATATAATCTTTGCCTTACCTGAGAATGAGCAGGAAATAATTTGGCAAAAACCTCATCCATCAACAAGATCTATTCCCCTAACACTTAGCAAAGCTTTAAGTGCATTTACTTGTCTTTCCAATTCCACCACACTACTCCTAACAGCTACAATTTCTTTTCAGCAGATCATTATATCACATTGAAAGGAATCAAACACACTGTTTCCAAAAATAAATGGGTTGTTTTCTCTACAGATGTGGGATCTGTATGTAGAAAATAAGATATTTTTTTTTAAATCCATTTTTAGAAGGTGTTTGGAAATCTTTCTGCTGACCTTGGATAATGATGCTTTCCAGTTTAAATAAGACATTTGGTTTGTTTATTTTTCCCTGAATTCCTGTGGGCAAGGCAATGACAGAAAGGGCTTTTAGGAGGTGTAGTTGATGAAGCTGCAGTGCTAAGAAGTGCTAAGAGCCATGGATAAAAGTTATTTGATGGGGCACTAAAAGAGTAAATTGTGTTGGCCTCTGTGTAATCCAAAAGTACCAAACATTTCTGAGTGCCATCTGCTGGTTAATTCCCCATTAGTACTCACACACACACAGCCCCACTCTGTGCCAGCTCCTTGAGGCCATCTCAGAGGGCTTGGTGCTCCAAATGTAGACATGTCACAAACAAAAAAGCTCAATGGGCCCTTCTTGGTTGTCTTCTGGCTTAAATCTTTGACCCCACAGTTGCCAAAAAAACCTCTTGCCCAGCTTTAGAGAAAACTGGTGTGCTACTCAAAGACATTTTCATTTTAAGCAGAAATGTTAGGCACTGTCAGTCATAAACCTTTATTACTGAATTCATCCCTGTCTGCAGCAGGGGGTTGAAGCTAGAATATATTCAAGGTCTCTTCCAACCCAAACCAGTCTGTGATGTTATGAACTGATGGCACTGGCTGTCACATAAAGTTTCTGAGGAGATTTTTGCAGTGCACAGCCAGGGAACACAGCTTCTGCATGTTAGGAGTGCATCTTTCTGTCACCTTCCTGTGTTTGTCACATTCCTGGAGGAACCAGGCACTATAGGCATGTTCTATACATTCAAATAAGACTTGATACTAATTTGATTACCCCACTGCATTGATTTAGTGTGAGAAATCCCATCTCCTCTGTGTGAGCAGTGGAGCAGCAGTGAATCAGCTGGGCATTAGCTGTGCATATCTGGGAGGTTGCAATAGGAAGCACGGACTTCAGTGAGGCAGAGGAAGATTGTCCTTAACTAAGATGTGAAGGTGTAACTTGTTTTTCCTGTTCTCTGTATTCATTTTTAACCAAATCATGTAGGGGGGCACTGGAATCACCACCATAAAGTGCCCTTCACTCCAAATGGCAGAACAGAGGAAGTACTGGGGTGGGAGAGGAGGCACCTGGCTGGTTCTGCACATTTCCAATAAAATGTATTCTCTGTTTTATTGAAGGAAAGCGTGGACCTGGGCGAGATCATGTTTTCCCTTTGTTATTTGCCAACTGCAGGTCGCCTCACCTTAACAGTCATTAAATGCAGAAATCTTAAAGCTATGGACATCACAGGTTACTCAGGTGGGTGTTTGGTGGCTGAGGAGGACCCCCCTGCATCCACATTTCCTCCTCTTCCTTCACCGTATCCTCAGTAGATGGTGGGTGAACCATCATGTTTTTCAGAAATAACTGAAAAAGCCCTATCCGTGTTTTAAGTGCAAACAAAATTTTTAAAGCAGAATTATCTGTGGCTTTTTTCCCATCCCACTGGAGGGTTTGCTGGGCCAGAGCTCTGATCCATCTCTTGGGTTAGACACTTAGATCTCTTGGAACCCTCTATAGCCAGAATCAATTCTTCCACCCCAAGATCAGGAAAGGATCATAAATCCTGGATAAACCCCACTGGAATGTACATTTCCCTGTACAGTGGCCAGTAGTCACACCTGAGGCTCACAGTCACCTGAAGACTGTTTGCATTTGAAACTTCAAAGAGCTGACTTGCAAATTTAGCATGCACAAATTCTGGTTTTCATCATAAATCCCAGTTTCTTTTCCAGACACCAAGTTCAGAGTATCTGCATTTCATTGTACAAAAAGCAGTAATAACAGAGACCTTTGCAGAAAATGTTTCTGTCCAGCTGGAGCTTAATGCTGTATGAAATGTCTGAGAATTGAGTCTTCAGGTGAAGCCAGCTCAGCCTTTCTGCAATAATAATAATGCAGTGCTGGTTCTCTGGTGCCTGAACCTCAGGTCACCACCCACACCAGGATAAGAAATGGAGGATTTTACTGGTCTGCAAACAAACTTTTAGAAAATGTCTATTTGAAGTGTTGCAGTCTGCAACCTCAGGATCTCGTCCAGGGAAGCTGCAGGGTTCTGGGGACCAGCATGGAACACCACTGAGACAGGCTTCCAGTTTATGAAACCATTTATTCAGCACGGGAACAAACTCAGATCCAGAACAAAGAGCCCCGAGCAAAGGCAGAGCCGGGTTTTTTGAGGGACAGAACTCCCAAGGGTCTCCACCTGTTCAGGGTCAGGGACCACTAGAAACACAGCAAGGGAGAAACCCTCCAGGGTCTCAATATCAATCAGAACTCCTGGGCCGCCCTTCAGAAGGGGTTTGGGGTGGGACAGTGTAACTCTTTGTCTCCCTCTAGTCACGTCGCCACATTGAAGAGTGCCTCTGGCTCCTGGGAGCTCACAGCCCATCCTCTGATAAACCTGTTTCTATATTGCAAAGGTAACAACGCACCTCTATCAACAAAAGGTCTTCTCCTATCTTTTCCTCCCTAGATCCATATGTCAAAGTGTCTTTGCTCTGTGATGGGCGAAGACTGAAAAAGAAGAAAACCACCATAAAGAAAAACACACTTAATCCCACCTACAATGAAGCAATAATCTTTGACATTCCCCCCGAGAACATGGATCAAGTCAGCCTCCTTATCTCTGTCATGGATTATGATCGGTAGGTGGGAGGCTCTGGAGAGCTGGAGGGGAGAGAATCCCATTTGGTGCAGATTTTCCTGCTCAAATGCAATTTTCCACAGTGCTTTCCATAGCCTCGATGTACAGAGTTCAGTGATATCCACCTGTCTCTGGTGATCTATCGCTACAGTGACATTGATATTTATGGCTATGGAAAAACAGCAAGTTTGGCAAAGCTGGTCCTTGCTTTATGGCATTTCCTTGAGCAAGTGCCATGTCTCCCTTGGTTATTTACTTGTCCTGCAACCCAGTTTAGAAAGCAAATAATGTCAGTCCTAGCAGCATGGGGTGTATGAATCAGGCATTACTGAACCTGGGGTTATTCTTGCTGTAGAGCACTACTCACACCTCTGTGTCTGGGCTGACCTGAAGTTCAAATAATTTAAGAAGTGTAATTAATTACCTATGGTGATGGCAGTGCTGGGGCAGACACAACAACCCAGGCTCACCAGCAGTGGGGTCCTGGCTCTGCCCGGCCAGGTGTGGGCAGCCTGAGGGATGGATGGATGGATGGATGGATGGATGGATGGATGGATGATGGATGATGGATGGATGGATGGATGGATGGATGGATGGATGGATGGATGGATGGATGGATGGATGGATGGATGGATGGATGGATGGATGGATGGATAGGATGGATGGATGGATGGATGGATGATGGATGGATGATGGATGGATGGATGGATGGATGGATGGATGGATGATGGATGGATGGATGATGGATGGATGGATGGATGGATGGATGGATGGATGGAAGGATGATGGATGGATGGATGATGGTGCTGCTTCTCTGCTGTTCCTCAGGGTGGGCCACAACGAGATCATCGGGGTTTGCCGTGTGGGGGTCAACGCCGAGGGGCTGGGCAGAGACCACTGGAACGAGATGCTGGCCTACCCCCGCAAGCCCATCGCCCACTGGCACCCACTGGTGGAGGTGAAGAAATCCTTTAAAGAGGTATGTGGGCTTGTCCTTCCCTTCCAGTGCCAGTGCTGTGCGGGAGTGGGCTGGCTCCAGGCTTTCAGAGAGCTCCTGCTCTCGCCTGGGATTTTCTGAGCAGAACTGAGGGAATTTTCTCACCAGAAATGAACTCTAGAAAACAAGCACTTCTGTATTGCCTCAAAATAGCTCCTTGAGCTCGCGAGCGAGACTGAACAGAACTGTATTTACAGATGTGACTGTTACATTTTAGGGATTTTTCTTTTTTTTCTTTTTTCCTTTTCCTTTTTAAATTAGAGATTGAAAGCAGTAAGGAAAGAGAATGCTGCTCTGATTGCAGAACAAATTGTCCAGGGATATTGCCTATTTCAAGTTTCAATTTTTCATCCTAAAAGATTTTTCTGTTGACTCATCTCCAAGCCTTTGAGGGAGAATAAATAGAACAAATGTAATAGCTCTAAGCATCTTCAGAGAAAGAGATTGACTTGATGCAGCCCTAGATGATAAAATAGGGCTGAAATGCCTGGGTACCATTTTGACCATCTCTGGCATTTTCTTCCCCCTTGCACTCCAATTTCTCACGCTTCTATAGTGCTATTTGGCTTTGCCTGATTTAGGTCATAATTTCTGGAGGAGAGAGATGTGGAAAAGGGCACACACGCCTTTGACACTTCAAATATGAGAAAAAAGCACAAGTGTTTGAGGCCAGTGATACTATAATAAAGGCAATAAAACCTCCCTCTGTGTCTGGGACTGGGGAGGTATTTTCCCTCAAAGCCACAGAATAAGTGCAACTTATTCTTTTTACTTAAGAAAAAGCATCTCATTTTCCCCTTGAAGTTCAGTGCTGAGCTGCACTGAAAGGCAGACACAGGGCTTGCTGAGACTCCACAGTAGAGTCAATTACTGTATAAACCCTGTCTTTCTTTGAAATCTGCTCTTTCCTCCAACAAGAAGGGGTGGGGAGGTGGCGCAGGGTGCCCAGAGATGCCCCTGGATCCCTGGAAGTGTCCAAGGCCAGCCTGTATGGGGTTTGGAGCAGCCTGGGATAGTGGAAGGTGTCCCTGCCCATAGCGGGGGGTTGGAACTGGATGATTTTTAAGTCCCTTCCCAACCCAAACCATTGTATAATTAAGAAATCAGTTTGTGCTCAGTGCCCTCTGTCCCAGCCCAGGTCAATTATACACAAAGGAAAACCTGGCATTGATGTTTGAGCTTAAGACCCACTGGAGGTGGATGTATCAGCCAGTGGACACCTGTAAATTCACCCTCCCTCTTTTGAGGTGATCTGTGAGCTCACCTTGAGCTGTGAATCAGCACAGGGATCAGCTATGCAGGGCTGAGTCAGAGCAGAATTAAACCCTTGTGCACTTTGTGTGCAGTGCTAACTCTGCCTTGGGTGCTGAACAGCAACCAGGAGTTCATTCCCCTTCCCCTGCTGGGCCTGGGCAGGCTCCGTGTGTCACCTCCCACCGCCACAGGGAGCTGGGGACCAGCAGCCACAAGGTTTCAGCAGAAAAGGAATTATTTCTCATTTGATCTCTTGGCATCTATAGCATCTCACAATGTGACTACAGTTGCCATGGCTGACCCAGGGGCAGGAGTTCTTTGTCCAGGTTGCAATATTTATGGCTTTACTGCGCTGTTCTTCAGATGCAGGTGGAGTTTTTAAAGAAAAACTCCTGCAAAGTTTTTGAAAATCACTAAGAAAAAAGTAATAAAGAGGCATTTTTGTTATGATGAAACACAGAGAAACCAAGGAAGACATGTAAGATGACTCACCTTCTAAAATACACTTTTGAAACCATGGCTGAGCCCCCAAGACTCTGGAAAAAAACCGAGTGAATCATTTCACCCCTCAGTGCACAGGTCAGGAGCTCTGCTTAAAAGGAAAGAAAAAACCCTCTGATCATCTGTTCTGGTATTTTTGCCACAAACTGGTGCACAGAGAGAGCAAGCAAATGGTCCCTGTGTTTATTTGCCCTTTTAAGTTTTAGCACGGCTGTCTGCAAATCCCCAATGCAGCCTAAAAGAAAAACTGAACAGAAAAGGCACAGGCTCCTGGAGAGAAATTAATGGGAAATGGTATTTGTTGGTTGCAAGACATTGCATCATCTCTTCTATGTTGTGTTTGGGTACCTTTGAAAAGAAATTTGGGGTTTTGGTCCTGCAATCCCAGCTCTGGGTCCCTGTGCAGCTGCTCCATCCTTCCAGGCTCTGTGGGCTGCTGGTTCTCTGTCCATCTGTCCTGAGGAGGCTGGGGGAGAACTGTCGGCCCTTCACGCCTTCCTCACCTTCATGCCACCCTCATCCCTTTGTGGGGATGAACTTGGGCTGTGCTGACATCCTGAGCCATCATTTTCACCTTCCTCTTTGTCTTCTTCATCTTCGTCTCCAAGAGCATTTGTGCTGGGCAGCAGCAAATGAAGCGTTTGCTTCCCAGATGATCCTTGTGATGGTCTCTGTGTGCTCTGACCATCAGGAGCAGCCTCTGGCCTCATCTGAGTCTCCCCTGAGAGCTTGACCTCAAACCAAGGCGAGGGAGCTGGATTGAATTGTCCCTTGGATGTCTCAATGGAGGGATGGGTGACTGGAGCAGTGTGTGTGGGGACATGGAGCTGCTCCAGGTGCTGCCATCTCCCCATGCTGTAGCTGGGGTCCCACCCCCCTCCCCACCACTCATGGAGGAGAAAATTGTGGGAATATGTAATTTCTTTGCTAACCGACACCCTGCCTGACGCCTTGGAAAATCTTTGGCCAGGAGGAGGAGCTCCCACCATAATTTGAGTACAGCTCAGAGTCACAACTTCTGGTGAATTTGCCAGGAAAATGTCACCAGGGCTGTGCTGCTTCAGGAGGATGGCCCAGCCCTGGCCCCCTTACCCTGCCACAGCAGGGAGTGATGGATGGATGGATGATGGATGGATGGATGGATGGATGGATGGATGGATGGATGGATGGATGATGGATGGATGGATGGATGGATGGATGATGGATGGATGGATGGATGATGGATGGATGGATGGATGGATGGATGGATGGATGGATGGTTGTGTCTGTGGTGTTGGACCAGCCTCCTCCTGAGGCTGAGGGATGGGATGTGTTGGGCCATGATTCTTTGTCCACCATGAGGACCTGGGCAGCTCCAGCCTGTCCCAGCAGCCACAGTGCTGGGCTAACATGACCTAACCCCTCATTTCTGTGCCAACAGCAATTTGGGCCCTTCCTCCACGAGCTGGTGCTGCTCCCTCTTTGCTTTCAGTGCTGGAAAAGGCTCCAGTGAAAAGGGAAACGCTTCAGATGCACATCATGTCTTTCGTTGCTCCATATTTATCAACAGGGAATAACAAACCATAATGACTGCACTTCTCTAATGACCATCATCATTAAAGAGGGAACATGGAGAACATGTGCAAATGAATCATTAATTACAGGCTTTTAAGTGCTATCCTCCTCACACAGATGTTCAGAAGGCGAGTTTCTGAGCAGAAAGGGAGAATCCCTCTTTGTGGGGTTGTTCTGACAATAAATTCTTCCCCTCAGCACAAGTTGTTCCCAGTGTTCAACCCCGAGGTCTTGCTGGCAGCTGCACCCTCCCCCGGTGCTTCAGCCACCCCACCCATGTTCCTTCTGCATTCTTCCACCCATCAGCCAGGTTCTGGGGTGTGTGCACAAAGGGAAATAGAATATTATATCTTGTTCTTCCAGGCTTTGAAAAGGGAACTTCTGAAAATGGGGATTTTCCCTGTTATCTCTGAAGGACAAACCCTGGTGTGGCAGAGTCGTGTCATCAGCACGATGCAAAACAGGTCTTTGGTGTTGCCAAGTGCCTCTGACATGCAGCAGGGGAGAACTTATTTGTTTAAAACATTGCTCCAGATAAAAACTGATAACTCTGCTGAGAGCCAAGTCATGTCCATAATGTAGAATAATCATTTATCTTTAAAGATAAGCCCTCCCAGACTTCTGGGCCTGTTTGACTTTGATTGAACTTTGATTGATTTTTTTCTGACTGTTGGCTAAACTATGTATGGCCCACCTTTTCTAATTAAATGAAGGAAAAGCATCTCCAGGTTCCTCTCTAGTCATTTGGATCTATCCTTGGTACTGGGATTCTGAGACATGGGACTACTGGGAGATGTTTTAAAGCATGATTTATTACTCTTCTTTTACGGTCTCATGGAGGAGTGAGAATGTCTTCACCATATGTGCCAGATGTTCATAGTCAGGGGTCACAAGACCACAGGGTAGCAGGTCTCTTAAAGGTTAATTGGCCATAAAACTACTGCCACAAAGAATGTTTTTACTTTCACACCAAGAGTTAATTATTTTGTCTAACACATCTTTGCCACAGTGCAGGCTTTCTTAACCAATCGTGTTATGACACAAAACTACTCGGTACATCTTAAAACTTATTACCTTTATAACTCCTTCTATATCTTAACTTTAAAACCTTAGAATTTTCCACTACCTAGCTTAATGTCTTTCTGTCTAAACTACCAACCCACATTTTTGCTCGTGGTCTCTAAATTAAGAAGTCTTTTCCAAGGTCTCAGGTCAAACCCTGCGCTCCATCTCTGTGCTCAGATCCTGCATGCACAAGATTTTTAAAATTTTCTGTGCTTGGAATTCACACACCTTGGAAGAGTTTTTATCACATTTTTGGAGTAGCAGCGCTGTCATTGTCATGCATACAGCATGAGGCAAAGAGCATGGGGAAGGCTCTGCCAAAAGACCATTTCTGTTGTAATTTCTGCAATCTGCTCATTGGCAGTCCCCGTGGGGAGGTTGTACCTGTATTATCAATTCCTCAGGGATTTTTGCCAATTTTTTTGACAAGAGAAACATAGAAGGAAGTGTTTCCTTACCTTAAGGCAGCTGTTTGCCAGGACAAGCTTCTCATCTTCATTCATTAATTTCTGCTCAGCCCTGATGAAATACAGGATTTTCAATGCAAACCTGTGCAGTGAGTTACTCTACACTGACAGGCTCATTTGGGGAAGGAAATTGGCCAAATTAGCTAAATTTTTGACCACTCCAAACCCATGGAGCATCTGCAAGGGCCTGCTGGCCCTGCTCAGCCACCCTGTGAGCACCAGGCTGCTGTTCTCTTGTTTTCATTCGAGATGGCTTTGCCAAGGCAAGGGTGAGGTCTGCTTCCTCAAGTAAGTTTTCACCCAGAGAAATGAAATTCATACATGCTTAAGCATTAATATCAACCAGCAAAGAATTTCTAATGATGTGGGAGGAGAGGGAATTGATTCAGGCAGTGGAAATTCTCCCTCCCGTTGTCTCTGGGAGATGTCTATCATTTGTCACTGGAATTTAATAAAACAAGATGGTGAGATGGGCAAGTGCTCAAAAGGTTCAGGAATAATGGGTTTGAATTATGATAATAGCCCTCAAGGCAGATGAAAAATAATTTATGATCCCCTAAGTATGGCAAAAAAATGTTTGCTCCATCCACCGAGTCTCTGATCTGATTTCCCTTTGAGAAATGTCTCCGGTGCTGTGGCCAGAGCTGCTGTGGAGTAAAATTACCAGACTGGAAAGCCTCAAGTACTTCTGAGCTTAGACAGTATTTTTAAACTGAAAAGACAACAGCAATAAAGCAGGGAAGAGCTGAGAGCACTTTGTCTTCACAGCACACACAGACACTGTTTATTTTCCTTTTTTTTGATGAGGAATCCTCGCAATTGGGAATTGATTTACAAGACAATAAAGTAAATTGTTCAGCAGTTCCTCCTGAGTGGTTAAACACGGGCATTGCATAAGCTGGAACTCATAGAGCAGATGAGACCATGTCAGGGCAGGAGCTGGGCAAGGGTGGGATGGGATGGGATGGGATGGGATGGGATG